ACACACACACACACACACACACACACACACCCCCCCCCCCACACACACACACACACAACACTCCCACTTTCTGCATCCTTTTCTCTGATATCACTACCGTCACACAGTTGGTTTCAAATTCCGTTGCCCATTTGGGTTTCATCATCATTATTGCTCCTTCGTTGAGAAAAGGTTAAAACTTAATACAGAAAAGATCTGGCAATCCACTGTGTGATCACAGCCATTGTTTGTACAAGAAGAATCATCGCTGCAAACTGACCAAATGCCGATGACGAGAAAAGAAAGAAAGAAAGAAAGAAAGAAAGAAAGAAAGAAAAAAGAGCAAGGCAATAGGAAAGACGAGAAGCAACAACACGTGGCAATAGTTGCCTGAAGCTTCCCTGAAGCTTCCCTGAGATTTCCTGAACAGAGCACGAAGGACTCAGGGTTCACTACAACAATTAGAAGCAATTCGTTGTTCGTCCTAAAGGACACTAGGTCTACCGTGCATTGCATCATCTGGCCGTGAGAGACTTTACTCCTGCTTAACACAGCCACCGTCCGCCCAACCCTCTATCCAAGCCTGGAAATGTTTTGGAAGACCAGCAACAACTTGAAGAAGCCATCATTTAAGAATTACTACCAATCACAAATCCATCTTGCAACTCAGCCACTTCACGAGCCTGCACCACCATCTCACCCCTGCCTACACATATCACCACTTCGGATCACCCAGGCTTTTGCTTGCGGTCCCATCCCTCATCAACCCCTGAGTTATAGTCCCATGTACCCCTGAATTTCCAAACCACACATTCACCTCGCTTCACAGTGTTCACACCCTCTAACCACCAACACAATCCCTGGTCTTCTTCAACCACACATCACTGCCCACCTCTCTCTCTCTCTCTGCCCACCTCTCTCTCTCTCTCTCTGTCTGCCCACCTCTCCATCTCTCTGTCTGCCCACCTCTCTCTCTCTCTCTCTCAAGAGCACACACACACACACACACACACACACACACATTCACACATTCACACACATACACACGCGTGTTTAAGAACACCAAGCCACTACGCAGAAATGTGCAAGCAAATATACACAGGACGTCATATTTCACGCCTGTCTTTCCACAATCCCATCACGAGGTACAGACTGGTGAGCTGGTAGTACTTACAACAAGTGAATAAAACCTGGGTTTGAAAATGCCAGTCTGAGTGCTCCCATTCATCAATCCCTACACGAGCACTCCAATGACCATCCTACAAGAAACCATCCTGCCACTGGTGCTCTTCCCATCTCCTCTGTGGCTTTCACACCAGAGGAGAGAACAACCTCCACAGACTCCGTTGCAATCTGCCAGCCATTAACCATCCTTACGGGAAAACACACAGTGCCCTCTCACCTCTCCTCACTGCCTCTTCTCCACTTACGCCACTTTCCCTAGCATCCGCTTGCAGGATGGAAGGGGTCTCCTTGCACGATGACTGCATCTGATAGAGCCAAACGACACGATCTGATAAGACGTTGCAATCACTAAAATCAACAGGCTGCGTAACAACACCGAGATGAGTGACATTATCTCTCATGCATGAGCTGGCGATAGCTCACGACGGATCATCCTGGCACGATCGTCTGTGCATCAATCACTCCCGAATCGAGCCACAATCCGTGGCCCGATGACTTCTTATACCAACGACGTATTAGGCCTTTCTGAAGCGAGGCATCCGCTTACTCCACATTTCAAATTATGTACATATATAGGAAGGTTTCATGAAATTCATCACAACCAAACTGCGAAAACGTTAACATCTTTATTTGCACCAACATCTCCCTCCGTCCTCTATCCTAACTGTCTCCCACACTCTTCCAAATAGGACTAGCTAAGGGGAGAAGTCCACAGAACGCCAAAAAAAAAAAAAAAAAAAAAAAAAAATCGAACTTTCCTAAATAAGGCCATGATCATCAGCATGGTGATCATGACAGCTACATACAGAGGAAGAAACAAGCTGTGTGTGCCCCTTACCTTTTCGCTCCGAACGGAGACATGAAATGAGTGAATGATACATTTCACTCCATCTCCTGACTCGTCATCTTTTCGTCACAAACCCTTCCGAATCGGCAGTCGCAAATTGCCCCCAAGCTTTCTCTAACCATACACCTTCATCCGTTGCTCCGTCCCAGCCTCTTCTTCTCCTTCGACTGAGCACATACTGCCGCCAAACCGCCAAGCCACTGTGCAATGACCATGATCGTGACGGGGGACGGAAGACCAACCACTCCTCACTCCTCGCTATGTACTCTTCTTTATACGCTTGTTGTTCTCCCACAGTCAAACTTGAAAGTCGGGAGATTTAGCAAATCCGTAAACTCAGATTCAGGCCCCAACAAGATATCATCATCCAGCTCTTCATCCACTAGCATGTCTGGGCTCTGTCAATCATAGCAAGATGCAGACAAAACTCTTCCAAGTTAGAAAAAAACCTGGGGGTATTCAGCCTCGTACTGATTCCCAAGGACATTCACCTTCACACGAGTCTGGTCACATGCAAAAGATCATTTATCAGGAGTTACGGTACTTTCTTCATTTCAAGCAGAGGACTGCAATGTACCTTCCTTGTCGGGGGGGGGGAGCAACCTTCTCTTTTCTGCTTTTTTTTTCTTTTTGTCTGTGTGCATGTGTGTGTGTGTGTGTGTGTGTGTGTGAGAGNGAGAGAGAGAGAGAGAGAGAGAGAGAGAGAGAGAGAGAGAGAGAGAGAGAGAGTTTTCTTATTCATTTCAACCAGAGGACTGCGATGTACCTTCCTTGTGGAGGGGAGCAATCTTGTCTTTTTCTCTTTTTTTTTTTTTTTTTTTTTCCTTACAGGTCCAGGGTGTAGTAGAGGGTGGCAACTAGGCCTCAGGGAGAGCCTCCTGTACTCGTTTGTTGGGAGGCCTGATGGATTGCAAGATCCCTAGGGGATTTTAGACTCAAGGCAGCACCACCTAACCTATATTATTGCTCAGATCGCAAGTTGTGACCTGCACCTGCGCTTTCACTTTGTTTTTTGTTTTTGTTTTCCTCTGTCCTCTGTGTGTGTGTGTGTGTGTGTGTGTGTGTGAGAGAGAGAGAGAGAGAGAGAGAGAGAGAGAGAGAGAGAGAGAGAGAGAGAGAGAGAGAGAGAGAGATTAGCATTTTAAACCACCTAAGCTTCCTATGAGAAAGATTCAATATGCCAGTCTTTAGGAAAAGCTCGATAAACCTCTTTCAGGACTGTCGGACGCTTCTGCACAGATGCAAGGACATCTGGTCACCAGATTCATTTCAGACACTTGCAATGTATATATATCCTCCTCTTCGTCTCCGGCATTGACTCCTGCTTAAGCTAACAACTGTTGGGTGGCCATGGGGAGATGCAATGCAACGCCAATTAATTTTTTTGCAGTGAATTACAAAATGGCTCTCCAACTTACCTCATCATCTTCATCTCCCTCCTCGTCCTCGTGGTGCTCATCCTCTTGCCCCTTAGCTGGCGCTGCTTTCGCCCCGACTTCCACCTCATCGTTCCTGGCAAACCTTCCTCGAACTCGAGGTCGACTGTCTGCCAAGGTCTTCCGACAGGCATACTGCACAGGCAGCGACATTTGCCATTTAACCAGTCAGCAAATTTAACCAGGAAAAATTTTAACCAGGCGAAATTTAACCAGGCGAAATTTAACCATGCAAATTTAACCATGCAAATTTAACCAGGCGAAATTTAACCAGGCGGAATTTGAACCAGGCAAATTTAACCAGGCGAAATTTAACCAGGCGAATTTAACCAGGCGAATTTAACCAGGCGAAATTTAACTAGGCGAAATTTAACCAGGCGAAATTTAACCAGGCGAAATTTAACCAGGCGAATCTCATTGCGCATTTAACCAGGATAAAGTAACTGTTCTGATATAAACAAACCCCTTGCACAGTTTAGATGAGTCAATTTGGTCTGCACTCTTCAGCCACCAAGTTGGGGGAAGGGGGGGAGAGGGGTGGGGGACGTACTTCGCAATGTCAATTTCATACGAAGTTCTTAGAGTGACAGGAGATGACATGGAAAGATGTGGTGGTGAGCGAGGGGGAATACCCCCGATTACACCCCCCCCCCCCCCCCCCCCCCCGGCTCCCCTCGGTTTATTTCGTGATTTTCGAATGACAAACCCCTTGCCGAAAGGAAATTAGAAGGAAATGACATAAGAAGATGTTGCTGTGTGGCAGGGTATAAGGACTTGCGGCTCTCCAGTAGATGCCTATGTGCTTTTGTGATGCAGTTGCACTCAGCGGAGTCACAAGAAGAGACACATGGTTGTGGCATCTTTTGTGTTCTTTTTCGTACCGTTGAGTATGCGGCATGCACAAATGACAAGGGGAGATGACACGAGAAGATGTTTGCTTGCCTCCCGCATCTGTCTTTTTCATTTTCCATTTCTCTTTTTTTCTCATAAAGATCAGCACTCAATCTATGTTCCGCATGTCCTCCAGAGTTTTTCAGCAACTACTCGCTGACCACAAAAGACCCCCAAAGTTGGTGCGTTCTCGAACCAGTCAGTAGTCCGCCCACCCACCCCTCCCCAAACCCCTCTCTCTCTCTCTCTCTCTCTCTCTCTCCACTCTGTGAATGTGCACACACAACAACAACAATGCACACAAGAAAAACAGAGTGCGAAGCAGAAAACCGGATTTACTTTCGCCCGCAACCAAAACACGGCCAGTGTGAGAAATCACGAGTCCATTCTCTCCCCATAAAAGTGGCAACCCGTCGTATGATAGTCGCTGTTCAAGCTGGGGAAGCGCCAAACAAGCACCCTGAAAAAAAATATATACTCTGCCTACGTTCAATCCTAGCGACATCTCCTCGATGACAAACAGCAGCACCAGCAACACACAATGTACCTACCATCTCCTGTCCTAGTTACACCCCCTGTCCTTTGGGAGGAGGCTGTGATTCGACAGTCGAACAGTGCAGGTAGCTCTCCCTTCAGAATTTTACCATGACTACCGTCTTCCCCCGAACACAACGCAACCTGAAAATGAAGGTGTACAAGGTATGTTTCCAGCCCGATACAGTGAAAATGAGGGTGCGTTGTGTTCGGGGGAAGACGGTACCACTGGTACAGGGGTGATCACAGCCTGTAGGACTTTTGAGGTGCCCAGCACACAACAAACCCTGAAACCTCTTATACACCACAGCAGTTACTACCCTCTTCACCCGAATAGAACGCCCGTCGCCCGGTCATTACCGCAGTATATGGGGCAATTTTAAGTCCAGAAACAGGGATAATGACCGGGCGTACTAGTATTCGGGTGAAGATGGTAGTACAACTTGAATGCGCCTAGCCTCACATTAGGAGATCCTCGAAGCATCACATCACAATGCCAGAGCTCATATGAGTCCAGCCTAGTACCCCAGTGACAAGACATGGCAGGAAGGAGTCCGACTTCAAAAGTCACAGGGAAATGAATCATCTATCCATGGCATCTAAATGTTGCGCCAAGTCATCCATCGCATGTAGAAGACGTTTGAGAGGGAGGAAGGTAGCGGGAACAGGCTTCACTTCACCAACCTTAATCTTCTTGTTGAAATTGCGCTCTGATCTCTTTTGACGATATCTGTTTATCCTCTTCTTGCGCTCCTCCATCGTATACCTGCCAATTCTAAACCCATCCTCGAGGGCACCTCTGTCGCCGAGGGAGTGCAAACCTCCCATTGCAACATGCATGCCATTCAACGTCTGATGATTCCATCCATCACAAGAGAACACCGGCCAACCAAAGGACGCCCCCCATGTAAGTCCCAAAAGTTATCACAACCACCGAAAGCACAAGCTTCCGAATCGGCGCCCATCCAACACGGAGACTCGTTGCATCACACAGGAAGCCATCGCGCATTCATTGTGCGTAAATAAACTGTTACACTGCCTTCTTCACCCAAATACAAACGTACAGCCGTTATAGGAAATTTATAGCTCTATTCGAGGTACTACCTTTCAGTCTAAACATAGCAACAAGTGCCAACAACGACCGACGTACGTTGTATTGGAGTGAGAAGAAGGTAGCGTTTCCACGGAGTGAAAGCCTAGTACCCTGTTGTGCACACCACAATTTCATTCTCAGACCTGATGCCTCTTGTCCTAGACACCTTACCATTGGAATCATTGCATGCCATGCTATTTAAAGCCGCAATAGCATCTGGGAAGGTGTGGGTATTGCGTCTTTAAATAGCATGGCATGCAACGCTTCCAATGCCTTATCGATTGGCACTATATATTATACCCACACATTGAATTCCCAGATGCTCATCACATTCGGGAACGTGTGCTCAACTCCCCAAGGGCGGCTGACAGTGTACGATAAGATCAACAACCCAGACGACGGCGGCTGCCGATAAGCTGACGAGAACCCCAGGATAGCAATACGCCATCCATTGCTTCTATAACCATTTTTTTCTGTTCGCTGCCGGTGAACACAGACAAAGCAAAGCACACTGCACATGTTCTGAAAATTTTAATTTGTCACAACAATGATCGACCACCTTGTCAACTACTCCGAAAACTTAAAAAAAAAAAAATGCCCATGCCCTTACTCCGCGCTTCGAAACAGTAACTTCTTTTCCGGCACACGGTAATTTATTTTCTGGGTGTGGTAAAAGTCGGTGGGCGATAATCACCGAGCAATCTGCGAACGAGTCTGCGCAGGCAGGCCTGGGGTGATAGGATGGCCAACCAAAAATAGATACTAGACACATAAATAGGCACATAGTAGTGGAAACTCTGTGGTGCGCAAAGAGCACAAGGGCAAGGATCGCGATGGTGGTTCCCGTACAGCATGCTCGCAATGTCTGTGATGGTGTGTCGACAGGTCCCAGAGACAGCACTGACCTATGGAACTGTGACAACTGTCCCAACGGAGGAACACCTTGCCAGTCTACGGGGAAAAGACGGGAGGAAGACGGCGCGTGAGAGGTGGGAGACGGAGGGACACATTTTCTATTCCAGGTGAGAGGGCCGTCAGCGGACAACGTAGGACTATCATACAGAAGAACAGCGCAGAGAGCACCAGTGCTTTAAGGGAGAGCAACCAATGGCATGCCAATCACCACCACAACTCTTTTACCTGCCTCAACGTCAAGCGGCACAGCACCACACATCACGCGCGCTTGTGCGCCACCTGCACCACACGTCGCACCCCACCTGCTTGCTGCCAGCATGTCCATACCATGCACATGTCATGAGAGAGAGAGAGAGAGAGAGAGAGAGAGAGAGAGAGAGAGAGAGAGAGAGAGGAGGGGGGGGGGCAAGAATTATTGTCGATTCCAATGTCCAGTTTCAGGTGCAGACCAGATTGCAATGTACGAGGAATGTCCAGTTTCAGGTGCATGCTCGTGTTCTAGGGAAAGAGGGAGACGACGACTTCAAAATTCCCTTTCTGCAAACTGCAAACTCGTTCTCGCTGCGACTTCGAGTTTATCTTCGCATGTCCCGACTTCCATGACGATGATCCAGCCGAGTAACAGTTCTGCTGCACTCCCACATGTGTTTCAGAATCTGTGCTCTGCTTTTAATCTTAACCGTTACATTTTATGGTGAGGGAGGGCGGAAGGGACAAAGGGGGACATAACTCTTCCCCTCACTGGCAGGCTTGAAATGAAATGCCATAGGAGTTCATTCCTTTCTTCTCGACGGACCGGGTTCTCCTGTTCTCACTTTGAAATTCCTATATAATACTTATAACACTGGATAAAGCTTGACCAGCTTAACCCACCCCATGTGCTTTTACTTCTACTCATGCCCAGACTCTGAGATGAAAATCAGCCATTTTCAAATTGTCTTGAGCAGATTCTCTGCTTCCAAGACACTACTGCCACATTACCAAGGGTCCGACGCATGTGGCAACCGCCAATGGCCTCAGGCACGCTGCCGTCTGACGGTGTCACAGTGTCCGCATGCAGCTTTATAGCACCACATCCGTCCACTTGTGCAGCTGCAGCCTGTGCAGTGTGCACATGCCCCTCAAAACCTACGCCTCAAGCACTTCACGCAGTGCCACGTACTTGCCGTCTAATTTGGGAATGTATGTCAACGGCCTCTGTCCTGCAAGCACTTGCCCAGTATTATACCGTTCCAAGAGAGTCGAAGACTTCATTCTGTATAATACTGTATACTGTTTCTTTCTTTTTTCAAGTTTTGTTTGATTAAAAAAAAAAAAAAAAAAAAAAAGGCGATGGCCTTCAGATATCATTGAACTGACCGGGCCCTGATAATTCAGAATTATTTTAATTTGGTAATCTGATCGTATCTGGATTCGAACTTGGCTCTATGTTTCCACAGTT